ATACACAAACAATATATTTATTGTTGATGCATAAATATGTTCATACTTTTTTAATTATTTGCATTAAAACCTAGCTCCTAGCCACAAATAAATCCTTTATTTTATTTTATTTTATATTATTAGGAACCACTATAAAATATTCCTATAATTTTAAAGTCTAGGATTATAAAAAATCTATTCTAAATTTTATGACACAGATTAATCAAAATTTTCGTTTTACAATGCAAAATATGAGTAATGATAATTATGTATTATAAAAACAAGAACAAATCCTAATTAAAAAGACTAAAAACAATAGTAACATTTTAAAATGGCACTAATAATATATTCATTTATTACTAATAAAAATAACTAATTAATATTTTGCAATAAATAGGCAACAACATCAACCATTTACTAAAATAATGTCAATATTTAGCATGTTCCTAAAGTAATATAATATAATTTAAAAACTATATTTTTTTAAATATTTAATATTAAAATTGGACATATCGTATATGTAAACAACTACGTAGTGATCATCATATACATGCGTGATAGGTTTTTTTTAAATATTAATTTAATTTACACTATCTATACATAATACAATTATTATTTTCTCCTATTATTATTAAATACATAAAATTCATGACTTAAGTGTTAATGATTGATGTTGTTGCCCCATATTAAATTTTACCTATGGAATATTAAAATTACAATACATCAGCACTAACAATCTTTTTTTTATCATTTTTATTTTTCTTTACACATTATTTTTTAATAGTTTACAGTTTTATTCAGGAATATAGTTGAACAAACTTGATCATTTTATATTTCTTTGAACTAGATTATCTAAAAAAAAAAAAAAAAGTAAAATCCTAATAACTTAATCACAACATTAAATAATGTTAAAAAAAAATTTTAATTTTCGTTATTCTCAAGATTTTTTAATACAATTGTAGAGTATGAATATTCTTTAAATCATCTGTCCAAAAATATTTTTGTTACATAGAAATAATCATAGAATATCAATATGCAGAATTTGAACATGCAACAAATATTCTGGATTAATAATTGAAATCAATAGCTATAAAATTATAATGCAACTTGTTAAAAAGTTATAAATTATCTTACTATGGATATTGGATAACAAATCAATAATTGTCAATCAATAAATATTTAAACAACATTTGTATAAAACTGACAAAACTGAAATTAAGATGTTTCAAATACATTATTTATTAGAATTTGTATGGCTGACTACAAAATTAGTAAAACTTACCAATAAATTGTGCAATATTCTCGACGAAATACCAATTAGGTACTTATTTTTAATTTACATGCGTAATACCAATTTGGATGATCCGATGATACTTATGTTTGATTAAATAGTAAACTAAAATACATCATAAAAAGCATATAGCTACCTATCATAGATAGTCATAATTTTAATTTGTATAACAATATTATATTACAGAGTAATAATTGTTTCAATTGTAATATGAATGTTGGCGTATGACGTGTTTAGTGTTTACGTTAGTAATGAAAGTAATGAAATTATTTAATTTTCAAATTGTCGGCATTTAGAGGTTTAGTGTGTAATCTACCGAAAAAAACAGTAGATATCTAGTTAAATAAAAATTATAAATAAATATGTAATATTATGTAATAAAAATGTAATTCGATTAAAAAATAACTATATTTAATACATTAAAGATTTTTGTGTCTACAAGTTATTACCCATTAGTATTAGTCAAAATATATGAATTATGTTCAAAATATGATAATTGTTACAATATTACATTTTATGAAAAATAAACTTTTTTATACCTACCAAAAAATGTATAAATAAATTATTCCGATTCTTTATTGGGCGGTACCAACATTCAATTAAATAGCATGGTAATAGATTTTAATTAGTCCCGTGCATTTTTCTTAATATTTCTCAATTTTAATATTAACCATAAACATTTAATTGTTTGAGTGTTTGCCCCATTTACGAGATTCACGAAATTTTCAGAATTATTGACAGTTAAATGATTATAGTCAATATAATTTAGACTGGTATAATATGATTTCCATAGTTACAAAAAGCATATTATACGTTACCTATTAATAGTAGATTACGGTGGATCCGGTAGATTACCTTGGGTCGAACGATAACGATTTATTATTTGACTACTGGTCTTTACAAACATGAATCAATAATTGTGTTTTAAATTTTAATCAATGCCTTGCAGCCGTAATAACCTGTGAGACGAACACCTGAAAACCTCAAACTATCCAACTTTGAGCAGCTATAACTCGTTAACGGTTAAATGGAAACTAATAATTATAACGATAAAATTCATAAAAAAAAAGTATCCCTATTATTATATGACATTTAAAATATAGGTTGGCATTTGAAAATCAAAAGTTTATAGTAGTTTCACTATTAAATATAAGCGTGAAAAAATAAAAATTTTATATATAATTCTAAAAAAACGTTAAACTAAACATTTAAAAAAAAATATTTTAAAAATTCGACACATTTTGAAATAATGAGTGTTCAATGATAAAAGAATTAACCTGTATATATATATTTTAAATATGCACTATATTCAATAATTCTTAAAAATCATTACTGCTACATTTCGATTAACTTTTCCATTAGATACAAATTATATTATAATATTCGCGTGCACACGTACTGTGGTACATTTACTATGAAAGCGTGTTCGACAAAGTCACTCGTAAGTATATTATGATTAAGGGTGCATAAAGTCTGGTAAAATTTACACAAAATATACATGAGCAATAAATGCAAGTGTTGGTCCGAGTCACAATCTCAAACATTGTGTGTGTCTGTGTGTCTGTGCTGTATATTAAGTATATTGTCCTCGGCGGACTCCCGAGAAAATGGGTGTGCACTACGTGAGAAGATTAGAAAAATAATTTAAAAGAAATTCGTCGGCGTAATCGCATTGAACTCGCGATAAAACGCCGCCGGTGAGGCGGTGAACTACTCTTTGTCGATTGCACAGTGTTTGGTTTGGAATTAAATTCCTGCAGAAATATTAGAAATGCGTATTGGCATTACGCAATAATAAATATATTATTATTATTATTATTGTTGTTGTTATTATTATTATTATTATTATTATTACTATGACAATAACTCCGTGAAACAAAATGCCAATAAAAAAAAAAAAAATCTTAAATATGATTCTTCTCATTATTATACATTTATACACCATATCTATATATTATCATTATAATACGCGACAATGTCGGAAGTAAACATCTAACAGATAATTAGTACAAGGTAAAGTGCGTTTGGGTTTGGTTTTATAATTTGAAATCATAACTCTGTAGAAACACTCGGGAAAACTTTTTCTGTGAAGTTAGATATGTTTATAATAACGTATAATATTCAATATGATATATGGAACTTAGAACATGTTATTTTAGTATAATATTTTATGACATTTCGTTCTGGCGCTCAAAAACAAAACTTATTATTAAAAATTGAAACGATATATTTTATTTCAAAATTGACAAAATAATATTATATGCTAGTATTCCACGTGTTTGGTTTAAATATTTACGTTCAAACAATATCTGCGGGGATTAAAATTACACATACGGCATTTACAAAATGTTGTTTACAAGTTCGTATTGATCGTTGTTTATTAATATAACCAAAAGCGGTCTCCAAATAATAGTTTCGAGTAGGTACGCTTGCTATGTTAAATATATAAAAGTTGTTGTTTAAGCATTTTGATATTTTAAAAAAAAACTTTTTTTGTAAATTCCCACTGCTGTCGAGCAAGCTTGCTACATATTATTAAGAACATAAAAATCGTTCGAATTTGACAATTTTTTTTTGTAATGCAAATTAAATTATTGTATAATACAATGTAACCGAGTAAAAATACAAAATGAGACATTCTCACGGAGTGGTTTGGTTAGTATTTCATGACTAATAAATTATAGTCATTGATGTGATGTAGCCGATGTTGGTACCTAGATTTTTATGTACAAATTTGCTTTTTAACAATCGTCGAAATATAGAAAAAAAATGACATGGGAACGCTAAATAATACGTTATAACAGTTATAGTATATTAATTATTAAATTTATTAAATAATTTGGTATTTTAACGAAAATGCATCATATGTTTTAATATCATAATATCCAGTTATTCTCTTATTCTCTATGTTTTTACTTTTTACTGCTCTGGTAATTTTTTCTAATCTTGATGTTAGAATAAAAAATTACTTTGATTAAAAATACTCGTAGTTTTACTATTGATCGCAGCGTTTGTAATGAATCGTTCTAAACCACTTACTGGTAACGATAACACTAATGAGTAATGACCTTATTATACATAGGTATATGAGAGAAATATTACACTTTTATAATATTAATGAAACTCAAAACTTCGAGTTATCCACGAAAATATTTGATTTAAACAAGATTTTTTTCACATTGTTTAAATAGGAAATTTTAGAGACCGGAGAAAAAAATTGAGGTACCGACGATTTCGAGTTAAATAAATTCGAGATAACCATGCCAAGTTTTACTGTATTATTAATTATGTTAATTATTTAGATTACAGGCTAGTAAAATAATATGGTAAATATTTGAATAATAAAGTTAAAATTGTATAGAATATACCTATAATTTTTTTTTCTTTTTATACATTTTACCTAGTTTTATATCTTCATTAAACAATAATAATTATATAATCAAACATTCTGGCTAATACTTAAACTAAAAAATAACACGCATTTTCAGTAAAACATATAATTTAACTAAATCAAAGTACTCTAGTCGATTATTCGAGAATAGGGTGTCTTGATAATCACACTCGTATTTGCTTTTTTTTCATATTTTATGTAATGATAAATGATGGTATGTATCAAATTCATATCTTAAGAATATATTTCCGTATACAATTAATTTAAATTATAATATAAATATTTATATTATAGTTTGTATAATATTATGTGTATATTAGTATATTATAATTATGATAGGTGTATGAAGGTGATTGGGTGGACGGACACATGGACGGTACAGGTATATACGAATGGAATAGCAATCATAAAGACTACGAACGGCTTGTGCTTCTGTGCTTGTGTGACAAGTACGTTGGCCAATGGTCAAAGTCAAAAAAACACGGTAAAGATAAGTAATACAAGACAAGAATGGTAATATCTATAGATAGTTATTAATTTAGAATACTGAGTGCATTTGAAATAATAAATACGTCTCGTAGAAGTGTCAAACTTTGGAATGATATCTTAAGTTTACGAGTTATACGGAGAGTTATTTCAATTTGAATAATGGACTTTAACGTAGAAATGAAGACGTTACATTTTGACAGTATACCGGCATGATATAAGCAAGATAGACAAATATTCCATGAAGTTCTTTGCGATATCATCAAATAATAATAACGCATATTATGATTAACCCACATAAATTATAATATTTAGATATGTGTGTGGTTCGCACTTCACCCAACATTTGAACAATTTTCGAAATTTAAAATTAAACGTAAATTATCGTTGTATAATTATTTATTCTGAGACAAAAGTTTGACAGTAAAAATTCACTTTATAGCACATTTTTTTTTATCTAAATGATTTAGTGCATAAAATATTTTATTTTTCGTAACGTATTCAAAAAAAAATACAATTTTCAGTTCATAATATGACATAATATATTATGACGTTCTTATCCATAAAAGTAGGTAAACAGTATTAATCTAACCGCAGGTCTAGGCGTATTCTATTCGGCTGACACCAGAACGACAGTGACGGGACGCTGGGTGAACGACTCTTTGGACGGTCCGTGTGAAATCATTTTATCCACCGGTCGACCACCAAAGGCTTCCGGTCTCGTGTTTCGTAACGGCATCCTTTACGAAATGACACCGGCAACATCTGCTCCCACCTCTGGTATGAGTCATAAACTTACTGTATCGACCCCCGGTCGTGAACGTCGACTTTCGTACAAGCCCATCACTGCCATTGCTATGAATTGTTCACTTTTGATGGCCTCCGGAAGTCACGTTCAAGAGCCTTATATTGATTCTCGTGGTTTCCGGGCAACCGTGTCAAACTATTTGGTTCGGGCCGACATCCAGTTAGTGGACCAAGAAACAAAGTGTGATTATGACCTGACCGATCATGTCCTGAGAATAGCGGCCAAGTGTAAAGAGGAACTTAACGTAGTGACCACCTCTGTTTTAAACTTTGAACCGGATCTTCAAAACGCAAAATGCGCACTTAGCATGTATGATGAGCGTCTGGCAGAACTTTACCGAGCTTACGGCACATTTTTGGCCGACATCCCAATAACTTACCGACCACTGATGACTCGTCTCGGACTTTGGCAAATGATTATTGACAGCCGTCTCCACGTGTACATTTCACTAGCTGACTTTGACGACCTATTGTGTAAGTACATATAATGTTATAAATAACACTATTATTTTATCACCACTTTATACACTTTAAATGCTTCAATCGCTGTCAATATACATAGAACGAACATTCATTGGTAAATTCAATAATACTTAATTTTCATTTATTAACAAATAGTAATATTTTAAAATAACAAATATTATTTTAATTTGAAAATATGTTATTGAATTAGGAAAGTATATGGGTAAAATCAACAAATACTATCGATCAAATTAATCATACACACAAACATTAATTTAAGAAAGAAATATATTGAATTAATAGACTGTTTATTAAATGTATAAAAAAGCATTTTAAAATCAACATTGGTTTTTGTTAATTTATCATTAATTAATTATAAATATTAATAATAAAAAAATGAGTTAGAATATGATTTATAGCCAACAGCAGTGGTGTATTTATAAACTTATTTGGGGGGGATGACAGGGACTGATCCAGAAATTTTCCATGTAGGGGCGCATAAAAAACAAACCAAAAAAATGGTCATCAGATAAAAAAAATCATAGAAAGAGCAAAAAAATGCTTTTTTGCATATTTTTTAGGAGAGGGGTGAAAACTCCATGTATATGTGATTTAAGGTTTCATAACACACAAATTGTAAAAATTGCATTGGTCAAACAACGTTTAATGTAATATTCGTAGCTACTCTAAACCGGTTTAAGTGCTCGAGATTCAGCACCACTTTTCAATTAAAACATAATTAGTCGATAGGTGTTAGAGTAGGTTTCCCAAAGTTAGGCAGACAATAGCAAGAATGAATCCCGTTCCGACGGAAGTTCAAGCGGCGCTTATAGAATAACATTACGTTCAAATTTTTTGCATTTTCATTTCGATTTTTTAGTTACAATCAATAATAATCATTTAGTTAAAATAATTTTATTTTTATAAATTCAACAATATAATATATACGCTAAATCAATAATGTACTCGTATTTGATAAAATTAACAAAACTCTTGGTTATTTTAACAAAATTTCGATAAAATATGTTAGTTAAACTAAACAAAAAAATTATTATTAAATCAAATAATTTATTAATTTTTATTTTAACATATATCTCATCTTAGTATCAATGAACATTTTGTTGACCCATTATTAACAATAATATTATAAATTTAATCTATATTTTTGTTAAAACTACCAGTATTTTTAAATATTAAACAACTTTTTAATATTATAATAATGTTAATATAATATATACCATCGATCGGTATAAGTCTTCCAACTATGTTATATACGAGTACAGGTAATGTCTGCAGTTACTGCGGTTATTATTGTAAACGTTACTAATAATTAATAGTAATTAATTAGTATTTTTTTAAAACTATTTTACCTGCATCATTTATATGCCATCACAATCATGCAACTACAATATACCTAAGTTTTTATTTAAATTTAAAACACAGAGTATAACAATATTCAACTCGAATAAACATTAGAGATAGTTATTATATACCTACACCCAATATTATCTTGACAACATTTATACACATTATAATTATTTCTCTCGTTTTAATCACACTTCGCATACGATTAATTTTTTATGTACATTAAAACGCGATGTACAATAAAAACAGAATTCAAATAGGTTGTTCTTTTACACCATCGATAATCACGCACCTAAAATAAAACAAAAGACTTCGCCATTTACATAAACATGGCACACCGTTAAAAAAGATCTCCTCGTTTTTTTAAGTGACAACGTGATATTTCATAACAATACATATAATTCGTGTAGATCTAAATGCGTTCATTAAAAAAAAAAAAAAAAAAAATGATACATGTAATAACGCAGACAATACACAATGGTGTACACGATTTAACACACTATGATTAATATCAAAATGTATTATTTTTCAGTCCTATTATCAAACACTCAACACACACACTATATTTAATAGCTTAGTGTAAAAAAGCGTTATTATTATTTATTTTATTATTTTAATCACAGCGCTAATGCTACTTGGAACAGGCTTATACGGTGGCGCTGCAAAACACGTACGTATGGTGTGATAAAGTTATTCTTTGTTTTAATTAATAATTTTAAATCCTAATACATGTTCGATTTGGCAATTCGGCTACTAATTATTTCTAACCTCAACCCTTTTTTTAAATTATAGTATTCGCGTTTACCGTTTATGACTATTATTATGCGCATAATCTCCAGTAAAGGTATAATATCGCCACGTTACATAAAATATTACATAATGTACAACGGTTAGTATGGACGAGGCAACCCACTGTTGTCACTGTTGTCAGTCTCTATCCCGTAACTGCTTATACACAGAGCCACAACAGGAAAAAACACAAATAATAAATGTATTATACATAATATATATATATACTTTTTTTTTTTTTTTGTTATACGATGTTCGTGTCTCCATACACATTATGGTAATTTGGAGTAGTATTTTTATTATTGTGTAATTCTTGTGACCGAAACCAACGAAGTATATCGTCACAGCTTCAGCATAACAATTTTGATATAATTTAATTATACATAAAGAGCAATAATTTAAATTGTATATTCTCACCCCATCATACACGTTAGAATCGTATTTGTATGTAAAAACTATACAATTCGTTTGCCGGCCATGTTATTATCTTCATTTATGTTTAATGCTTACTTATCGCAATATAACTCATCCATCATCCACCAGCCACCAGGTCATCTCACACATTCAGTTCTGCCATTTATTATTTTTATATTTATTGATTTTTTTATTTACTTCCTGGATTGCTATTATTATTATTACTTATCACAATATTTTATCATACTACTAACCCAAATATTTTAATATAGGCATTATGCCACCGGTATTATACCAATATTTGTTGATTCCTAAATATTATTATTAGGTACCTACTAACAAAAGTATACCTAAGCCTTGTTTTTTCTTATATAATATAAATTTCCTTTCTTTTATCGTAAGGGTTTCCACTCGTTACATCAATATATTTATACTCTCGTAGACAAAAACCTTATTAGGTTTAATTGAGATTTGGTATACTCAACTTATTTGATAGAGGAGAGTGGTTGATATATATTTTTGCACAACATCCTAAAAAATAGTTCTGTGCCACTGGGAGTATGCAGTATGCACTCTTTACCATACGTACATTATACACGCACACGAACATGCGCAATGCGCATACATAAACACGCAACCTGTTTTGTAATGAAATGTAAGCTAGAAGACAAAATTATAAATTATAGTTACACAATTTCGTTTATTTTTCATGAGTTACAGTTAAATAATTTTACAGTTTAAACCATATATTACAGTCTGCAACCCCATTGTATAAGTCTAATTAAAAACTGAATAGCGATTCCTATATGCACTCAACACACGAATCACAAAATGTAAATTAGTGTTTTAAATTTTAACGTGGAATTTATCATATATTTGTACTGGAAAATGGAAAAAATTAATCGTTGAAATCACTATGTAATAATTACAAATAATTATAAAAATAAAACATCATCGTAATCATTTGTGACCAGTGGTGTATTTTCGGGGGATTCCCGGGCCTCGACCCTTCTTCCTTTCAGAAGAAAAAAAAGATCAAAAATAATAACATAATTATTAATTCATAGCTCATATGTTATATTTTTAATAACATTATAACTTTACTTATTTTTTATACCCCCGCCCAAAAAAATTTGAAAATACGCCACTGTCTGGGACACATTTAAACAATATAT